TGATAATATAACTAATAACTGTAAAATATGATGACAATAACTAAGTTAAATTATATATATATATATATATATATATATATATATATATATATATATATATATATATATATATATATATATATATATATATATATATATATATATAAACAAGCGCAATTTAATTTAGCCTAATCCAACTAAATATATTTTACACAATTTTACAATAATTTAATAATAAAACACAATGCAATATTTTTTTCCGTTAGGTTCAGAGTGATTTTTTGTGAAATTATTGCATACACGAATTTTCACTTGCCTTATTCGGCAAGAAATTGCTATTTAACCCAAAAATCGCAAGATTTACCTATTCGGCACGACATATATATATCTTCTTTCAACAAACCACCGAGGCAGGGTGGCCCAAAAGGAAAAACGAAAGTTTCTCCTTTTAAATTTAATAATATATACAGAAGGGGTTACTAGCCCCTTGCTCCTGGCATTTTATTCGCCTCTTACGACATTTATGGCTTTTGGAGGAAGAGTTATGTTCCATTTCCTCATGGAGATAAGAGGAAATAAACAAGAACAAGAACTAGTAAGAAAATAGAAGAAAACCTAGAGGGTTGTGTATATTTATGCTTGCACATGTATATGTAGTGTGACCTAAGTATACATAGAAGTAGCAAGACGTACCTGAAATTTTGCACGTTTATGAGACAGAAAAAAGACACCAGCAATCCTACCATCATGAAATACAATTACAGGTTTCCGTTTTACACTCACTTGGCAAGAATGTAACTGTAGTACCTCCATTGGTGGTTGCTGTCTACCAGCGTACTACCTAGGATATATGTATAGTATATATATATATATATATATATATATATATATATATATATATATATATATATATATATATATATATGGGGTGGTAGAAAAAGTCTAGTGCTCAGGTGGATTCTAGGAAGGTTTCTAGACTTCATGGAAGACATTTCACTTCACCAAGGCTAAAATACTCCATATATTGCGCTAGAGATAGACCCTTTTAGCTCAGTCTTAGAGCTTTTAGCTCGCAATGAAAATAACCTGGGTTCGAATCCTAGTCAAAGCGAGACGAAAAGGCAAGTCTTTTTACACCTTGAAGGTCGCATCCTGGGTAAGGTGACTCAAGGACCTCAACGGAAATAAGCCACTTCGCTTGACTTTCTTAGAGGCTTATTAACCCTCCAGGGTTAATAACCCAAGAAAGTTTTCATCAGAATGATCATCATTTTTGTGTTGTTTGGGAGGGAGAATAAGAGGAGGGAGAGGAAGTGGGAGGGATGGAGGATGTTGAGGGAAGGTGTACATGGTTTTGATCAGTTCCATAACAGGAGTCAGGCCATATCAGTCAGCGAAGGTCAAAGGTGGTAAAGCCAAGTGTCAGGGAGGTGTAACATGAGGAATGTTTATAAAGAGCCAACACTGTGTGCCCAAATATAACGTGATAGCATATTGTGCAATAGTCCTAGAAATCTTCACTTGGTGTGGCTAAAACACTACACATATATGAGTAAGACACATGTGCAACAGTTAGGTGTTTATGTTTCTGAAACGTTTAACCTACACAAGAGGCTTCTTCAGTCGAATACAGAGGTGACTAACTCTGGAGACAGCAGAAACAGTGTAGATGTAAAGATGATGTGATTAGTCCATGAGCCTTGAAAAAAAGTCTTGAGGTGGTCAGTCTCTCAGCCTTGAAAAAGCAGTCTTGAGGTGGTCAATCCCTCAGCCTTGAGTGGCCCGGTGGCCTGGTGGCTAAAGCTCCCGCTTCACACACGGAGGGCCCGGGTTCGATTCCCGGCGGGTGGAAACATTTCGACACGTTTCCTTACACCTATTGTCCTGTTCACCTAGCAGCAAATAGGTACCCGGGTGTTAGTCGACTGGTGTGGGTCGCATCCTGGGGGACAAGATTAAGGACCCCAATGGAAATAAGTTAGACAGTCCTCGATGACGCACTGACTTTCTTGGGTTATCCTGGGTGGCTAACCCTCCGGGGTTAAAAATCCGAACGAAATCTCATCTCTCTCATCTTGAGAAGTCTTCAGCTCCATTGTCTTGAACAATCACCTCAGACCAGCTAAAATATACACCGCCTTTTAATTTTTGTATCTAACAAATTTAGGAATACCTGTAGTGTGTAGTTACATTATTTTATATGATAGTTACATTGTAGAAATACCTGGAGCGTGTGGCCACCCTATCGTATTTGATGGTTACAGTGTAGGAACATCAGCAGTGTACGGCTACTCTATTCTATGTGAAGAAGTATGTATGTTCCCTGTCGTATTCTATTGTACAGGATGGTTGCATGCACACATGAGGTAATGAAATGTGTCAGTCTGAGCTGGATGACTTCAGAGGTGTCAGCCTGAGCTGGATGACTTCAGAGGTGTCAGTCGGAGCTAGATGACTTCAGAGGTGTCAGTCTGAGCTAGGAGATTTCAGTAGGGGGGATGAGGTTATTGACAAGTATTTCACTACTAAATCATTAGATACGGCAGTGTTTTCACAACAAAAGTGAGACCATGACAGTGTTGTGAGAAGAAAGGCGGGACCATGGCAATGTCTTGAGAAGAAAGGCGGGACCATGGCAGTGTCTTGAGAAGAAAGGCGGGACCATGGCAGTGTCTTGAGAAGAAAGGCAGGACCGTGGCAGTGTCTTGAGAAGAAAGGCGGGACCATGGCAGTGTCTTGAGAAGAAAGACGGGATCATGGCAGTGTCGTGAGAAGAAAGGTGGGATCATGGCAGTGTCGCGAGAAGAAAGGTGGGACCACAGTGAATCGTCAACATCCTTGACAGGTTCCAAACTTAAATCTGGATTAATTTGTAGAGTACAGGTGAGGAGTAGAGGCGAGTCGAGGCGTGTGAGGTAATCATCCCCAGAAAGGTCATGCGTACTGTTGTGACAACACTTGACTATGATTATGTCAACACCTGCCTCACCTGTGTACACCTGTCTCACCTGTGCACCTATCTCACCCATGTGCACCTGCCTCACTCACCTGTGTACACCTGTCTCACTTTCCCACTCATTCACTAAATGGAAATTATTTACCTGTGCTGCATATGCAACACAGGTGTGTAATTGCATATACAACAGCTGCTGCAAAGACCGGTGTAAAGCTGCATGTGTAACAGTATTTGTCATGACCTGGTCTGGGACCGGCCGCGGGGGAGGGGGGCATTGACCCCCGAAAACATCCTTCAGGTGTGTAGCTGCATATCCAACTTTACGACAGGCGTAACACTTCACATACGCAACAGAGCTGTTACAACGACAGGTGTAATGCTTCACATACGTAACAGAGCTGTTACAACGACAGGTGTAATGCTTCACATACGTAACAGAGCTGTTACAACGACAGGTGTAATGCTTCACATACGCAACAGAGCTGTTACAACGACAGGTGTAATGCTTCACATACGTAACAGAGCTGTTACAACGACAGGTGTAATGCTTCACATATGTAACAGAGCTGTTACAACGACAGGTGTAATGCTTCACATACGCAACAGAGCTGTTACAACGACAGGTGTAATGCTTCACATACGCAACAGAGCTGTTACAACGACAGGTGTAATGCTTCACATACGTAACAGAGCTGTTACAACGACAGGTGTAATGCTTCACATACGTAACAGAGCTGTTACAACGACAGGTGTAATGCTTCACATACGTAACAGAGCTGTTACAACGACAGGTGTAATGCTTCACATACGTAACAGAGCTGTTACAACGACAGGTGTAATGCTTCACATACGTAACAGAGCTGTTACAACGACAGGTGTAATGCTTCACATACGTAACAAAGCTGTTACAACGAAAGATGCAAAGCTGAGCGTGCAACCCAGGTAAATGTTGCTGGTGCAACTGTGTTGGTACTTCAGTGTGAGACGACTTGTTTCACGTCGGTGCAGGCAAATAAAGATACGCGTGCGCGAGCGAGCAAGAATGTGTGTGCTGGCAGCAACACACTGGCATTTGCTTCATTTCCGTTTGAACTATATGGTCATTAGCAGCTGCAACAGGGGGAAAAACAACTACCAGTCACGGCGTACACGCACACACATATCACAGCAAAAACACAGAGTAATGAAGTAATGGTTTTACGGAGAGTATTGAGTAATGCATTACTTGGCAACCTCGCACAGGGGGAGGGTTGACTTCAGACCAACCCGCACCTTCATTTTCTTCCATTTATCAATTTTCTACTCATTTTTCACAAAGACAACCCTCTCCTCATATTGAGGAATATTCATACTCAGATATGAGTATCACCCACATAAGATTGAGTGAGAATAATTATGTTTAGTGAAGCTTGTGTGAGACATTACTGGAAGATCCACAACTCATTTTCTTTATCCGGTGACTTAAACACTGTATGTACAGCAGGTACATATACCCTAGCATCCTTGGTAGGAAAATGCAATAATTAGCGAAAATGTGAAATAACTGAAGACGATATAATATCTTTCCAGAATCATTCGACGTGGGTTCAATGGAATGCTGCTAAGCTTCGCTACTAGGTTAACCAATTCTTATTTATACTAAACAATACTTCATGGTAACTAACTTTCTAAGATTTTTTTGTAATAATATCACTAATTCTCACCTGTTAAAAATGTGTATCTCACCCTCTTTATGCTCTATAAGTTGTGAAAGAAATTAATGTACCCAGAAGTCTTGGTCTAACATCCTAACATCTTAGTGGTAAACGGTGCCCGGAACTTTGTGAAAAGACTAGGATTATTTCCTTATTTCCATCATTACAGACTGCCAATCTTCATATAAAGTTGATCATTTATTGTGCTCTGGGCATCACTCTCGAGGTTTCACAGTGAGCCGCAATTGAACGAATACCTGCGAAAATATGAGGTAAAACTTTGTCACCTGTGGCGGTGTTGGCAACTCGTGTAGTGGAGACAGAGTTACCCTATCTGAGGCCTGAGCCCATCAGTGTATATCCCCTTGGTCTAGATAGCCAGGGAGGCTGGGATAACGCCCTCAGGATAACCTCTCCTCTAGGATAACCTTCACTATCTCGCAAAGAGCAATTAAGAGTGCTTAAGGGGAGGTAAACTTCCCAAGGAGTGGCGTGCGACGAGCCATAAGTGTCGTGTGTGTGTGTGTGTGTTTGTTGTGATGAATTGTGTGCAGACGGGCCCCAAACACGCTCCTCGGAGTGTCCGAAGTGAGAGGGCCGGGCTGAGGGGGCCCTCAGGAGCACCTCAGAGGTGCCGCTACTCCTGAAGGAGTGCCCCTCTACCCCCCTCAACCATCACAACCTTGGCCCCTTTACAACAAAAATGTGATTGAAAATAGAAATGGGTAACGCAGAGGAAGGAGTTCAGTGATATCTTCTTAATAGTTGATTATTATCTAATACCGCGGATATATTTCAGTGAAACGATACTCATTAGAAATATATTGGTCCTTAATAATGCGTTTAATTGATCTTTTGAAGGCTAATAAATTTGTATATTTATATATTTTTAGTGTAAATTTATCCAGTGTATGTGTCAATGTGTGTGTATTAATTTAGTGTTATCTCTTCAAAGTATAGTTTAATAACTAGAAAATCATTATGTATAAAATTATGAAGTTGAATTCTTTAAATTGGGATATATAGGAATTAAACTCGTTGTTGTGCTAATTGAAAGATTATAACGTGACGTGACCAGTGCCATTATGTGCGACCTAGTGCCACAAGGGTAGCCCAGTGCCATAAGGTATGGCCCAGTGCTGTTAAGTGTGCTCTAGTGCCACAAGGTGTAGCCCAGTGATGCTGAGTGTGCTCTAGTGCCACAAGGTGTGGCCCAGTGATGCTAAGTGTGCTCTAGTGCCACAAGGTGTAGCCCAGTGATGCTGAGTGTGCTCTAGTGCCACAAGGTGTGGCCCAGTGATGCTAAGTGTGCTCTAGTGCCACAAGGTGTGGCCCAGTGATGCTAAGTGTGCTCTAGTGCCACAAGGTGTGGCCCAGTGATGCTAAGTGTGCTCCATTGACACAAGGTGTGGCCAGCAAGCCGCAGCGGCGCCAGTTAAGTAGTGAGCCATAGTGAAGGTGTCCACAGGGCCACTCGCTGACCCTCTTGCTTGCACCCGACACCTGCTAGATATTGTGCTAGAACTAGTGATGCCTAAGCATTTGCTGATGCCTAGAGCCGGATTCTAGTAGTGCTAGTGCATCTAGGATACCTGGCCCTCGTGAAGCGCAAGTCATATGACACCCCCGGTGGTCTTGTTAAACACCTGTGATAGAACACCTGTCTGAGTTGCTACTGCGCCGGGTCTGGGTTACTTTAACCTCGTACTATAAGTGTTTTGGAAGTGTTGGTGGAAATAGTGTTGATCAAGAGTCCTGAGTGACCGCCGTTGAAGACGACTAACTCGGAGCAGCAGCAGTGGTTGAAGTGTCGAGGTTGTACTGACATACAAGACTTATTTCGAGTTCACGGAGGTGCGCCTCACTGACGGTTGGGTCAGGCATATCACGATTATCTTACACATCATTACCACGCACACCTGTTATCCTGTAAGTCATTTAATACACTTTGTGTTACAGTTAATTGTTTCTTGATACTCTCTGACTCACTCATAGGTGTTCATGAAGTTTGTGGCGGAAAAGTGCAGGACACAATGTTGCTATGTTGATGTAATCTTCTCATGTGTCCATATCTGGGTAACCACTTGAGCAGAGATAGAAAGTGAACACTCACTATGTAATAGATGGACAAGAGGTACAGCTGTAGCAGAAAAGAGCTTGTAGATTGGTAGTGGTGATAAACTGTACATCAGGGTAAGCCAGGATACAGCATGTAGATGTGGAAGACCCAGTCCCCTGGGGTAGAGCACCCTGCTGGTGGTGTCCGCGTCCAGGACACCCCCGTTTCCATATCTCCCGTCCAGGATGCCATGTGTGTGGTGAGGACCAGGCCATGAGAAGACCCTTTGAGAGAGTGCGAGTGTTGAGGACACTGTGTGAGGAAGAGTTAAGGGAAGGCGCTGGCCCACACTTGAGTGTTGCCGCCTCTACCAGTATGGCTGGTGGAGTGACGCGGCGTCACCCTGCCGGCAACACACGCCTTGTTCTCTCTTTACCTCTGCCACACTGACGGAGGGTGACGACACGCAGGAAGCGACTGGAAGACGCTGGAGGAGGAGGAGGAGGGTGATGGAGAGCCGGGCAGGAGGGACCACCACTCTCCCACGCAACAAGGGCGCAACCCTGCCCGGGTTCCGCGTGGGGCCAGTGCGTTATGGTGTGCGTCTGGGCCCTCCGAGCGAGAACATGCCCGCCAGGCGATGCTCTGAGGGCGACCTTGGCGCACCTAGTAGGCCCTCCGGGGAGGAGGTAGTGGTGAGGAAGGTGGTCAGGAGTGGCTCTGGCCCCTACAATCATCAAACACTTATTGACAATAGGCAAGAGTGTAGTGGGGGGCGTGCCACAAGTGACCTCGCCCCCCGCGGCTCTGATCCCTCTCCCCTACACCTGAAGGAGGCCCACTCGCTGCTCAACAACAGGTGGGCCCCACTCACTGTGCCCACTTGTACTGCCCTCTTGCCTCCCGCCTCGCCACGCCCACATGGCGTCAGACGGAGCTTCAATGCGTCTCCACGCCCGTGGGTGGCACCCACGCAGGTGGAAGATGCCGCTGATAATAAAGGCAGTGACAATAACAGTGATAATAACAGCGGCGCGAGTGGCAGGTGGCGCGTGGCGCCAACAGATGGCGCGAGCGCCCACACCAACGCTCTCTCTCTTACTGACCCGCTAAAATTATCTCCACACCCACCACCCGAGGCGGGCGGATGGCCCTCCCTGCGGGGCGGTCCGCGCCCTGCGCCGCCCTTAATCGCCCCCGCTGACGTGGCCACGTTCAGAAGTGAGGCCACTATCCTGGTGACCCAGGGTGATAAGAGCCAGGGTGACAGGAGTGGTGGCCAGGGTGAACCATCACCCATGTGCCGCCGTCGTGCAGTGGACACCCTCAGCCTGGGCACCTGCGCTGCTGACGACGGGGAGGGTATGGGTGCTGCTGTAGGAGGCGGGGCACTGCTGCAGGAGGTGAGGGCAGGCGGCCTGCCTCCCCCCGCCGCTAAATATACGTGTTGTGTGGCGGGGCGCTCCCCCCGGCAGCTGCTGCCCCGCCATGCCACTATGTTTAGCTACCCGGGCCCGGCGCGCCCCGCCATCCCGGAGGAGAGTGGCAGTGCGCACCTCGACAGTGACCAGTGCAGTGCTCCGCCGCCACCCATATCTAGTAATGCCCAGGCCAGTGCAGTGCAGTGTACAGTGTTTCCTTGCGGAGGCGGCGGTACTGTAGCCTCGGGGGGCAGCGGTCATGGGGACCGTGTGGCCCCCCCGGCGCCAGTGACCTCCCAGGACGCCCCCCCCGCCATCACCCGCACCGCCCCCCGCAGGACTGTCCGGCCAAGACCAGAAATACCTGATCATTTGTACCGCCGTTGGGCCGCACTGCTTCCATCTGATGCTGGCTTAGATTATCGCAGACACAGAGAGCACGAGGAGGTGGGTGCGGGGGCCCCAGGGGGCGCTCCCGGCCCCTCAGATGAGGGGCCCCGGCCGGTGACATCACTTGATCTTAACCCCGGGGCAGGAAGAACACAGGGGTCTCAGAATTACCAGCTAGATTCCCAGCAGGACCTCTACTCTCAACAACTCGCCCGGTTTCGACTGGGCGCCCCTACCGGCGGACTGGGAGGCGGCAGGAAAGAAGGGGGGCGTGGACCCCCTCCAGCACGCCCTCCCAGGTCTCGGCAGAATCATCTGGAAGAGCTGCGGAAATGCACAGAGAGGCTTAAAACACCGTCACCTGACAAGAAGGTTCGAGCTGACTCTGCGCCCCCGCCGGACACGGGCGTGTCAGCCAGCTCGGAGGAGGGCGAGGGGGCTCCCCCGCGGGGCAAGAACAAGACGCGAAGCAATGACACCCGCAGCGTCCTTCCTCGCCATCAGTGGCTGGGGAAGAGTCCCAGTCTTCCTCCTCAACTCCCCTCAGCCAAGAACACAGAAGCCTCTAGGCTGTCATTGGCTCTCGTCCCAAAGGACCCCAAGAAGGATCTACTTGCGAGTGGGCGCCGGGAAGAGGAAGACGTGTTCGACGAGGGAGCTGCCAAACTCCCTCCGCGGCCACGTCCTGAGTCTCGTCTTTTCATCCCGCCGAGAGTCATCTCCTTCAGGACGGCGTCGGTGTCCCAGGACGTGGCGTCGGACGCGGCTTTTTTTCCGCGCAGTAGCAAGTCTCCACCTGCCATCCGCCTCGACACCATCTGTAAGGACTACTGGCGTACCAATACACTCCCGAAGCGCAAACCTGCCGTCGTTACTAAGGAAGGTGGCGCTGCGGCAGGAGGGCCCAGCCACCAACACCCGCCGCTCACTACCGCAGTTTCCATCAGCGACATGACTAACGTTGGTGCCAAGTCGGGGTTGTCACAGCCGGAAAAACTGGAGAATAAATCCAAGTCCGAGAGCGAATTGTCAGTGGCAGGACTGACGAGTAGTGAGGGAGGTCTGGCTCGCCTCCGAGACAACCTCTTGACCAAAAAAGTGGAGGCTCTGGACACTTTGTCTATCCCAGGAAGTGGAGTCAAGGATGCAGGTGCGACTGAAAGAGACGTCAGGGACGCAGAGGAGACGAAAAGAAAAGTCAAAGACGCAGGTAACATGGAACGAGAAGCCAAGGATGCAGGCTGGACAAAGGGCGGAGGCAAGGATGTGAATAAAAGAGAAACCGGTGTCACAGAAGGCGATGGAGAAGCTGGTGCAGAACCTTCCCATGAAAGAAAGATTACCGATGACAAACCAGCAACTCATGATAATGCGAAGAAAATGGAAAACAACATAGATGAAATAAATATTAAAAATAATAGACATGATGAACAACACATTGCTGTAAGAGAAGAAAAGGTAGAAAATATTAATAAAAAGGGGGAAAAGGCAGATAAAGAGAATAACAGATGTAATAGAGTAAGCTTCTCTGATGAAGTCAAGAATATTAGTGCAGATCCAGAAGGAGATACAGTGGTGAGGCTCAAAGACGAGCCCACAACAGTGTGTGTTGACAACTTATTGCGCGGCGAATTATCCACTAATTTTCAATCCAATACAGACAAAGGGAGTGTAGAAAGTGATGCTCAGAGACGTTCCTGTGTAGCATTAGAGTGTGCGAATAGGGAGCCACGAAAAGTAGTGTTTACTCTTGGTGATGAAGTGCCGGATGCGCAGAGAGTGCACAAAGTCATACCAACTCAGGAACACCACAAACTAATCGATCACGAGGGCATGGACTTGAAAATTGAGAGGGAGGTATTAATGGTGAATGCCTCTGGGCAGAAGACTGCTGCTGCTGCTGCTACTACTACTACTACTACTACTACTACTACTACTACTACTACTACTACTACTACTACTACTACTACTACCACTACTACTACTACTACTACTACTACAGCAGGAGTAGCAGCAGGAAGATCTAATAATCACGAGGTGAGTAGAGGCAGCAGTGAGACTATTACTCCAACAGTGGACAGGAAGGAACTCGATGAGGGTGAGGCTGGTGATACTCCCCCGGGAGGGGAGACACCTAACCCTGGGGGACTGGCTCCTCCAGGCCAGACATCCGAACTGGCAGTTGTACTTCGTGAAGGCACCTCAGGGGACCGCCTCGCTGGTGCGCCAGCTCAAGTGTCTTTGCCTAGCAGTAGTGGCCCACTCATTGATATGGAAAATAGATTTAGTAGCGAATTAGTAAAGAATAAAGTTAAGAGCGAAGGTGCGGGTGGGGAGGGGGTGAGTCCATGTTCAGATCACCGTCAGGTTGAGTGTCAAGTCCTGCAGAAGGAGCCGAGACTGTCACAGTGTTTGGTCATTAAATCTGGGGCAAGGGAGAGTGGACTAAACACCATGGGTGGGGAGGGAGCCACCTCCGAGTGCAGGGTGATTAGGTCCCGGCCTCGCCTCCCACGTGAGGACTCCGACGGTGACAGTGGTGAGCGAGAGACTTCGCGTGTGTATCTCATGCAGATGAGCAATGAGGGTATATTTGAAGAAGAGATCAAGAGTCATGAACAACGTGACTCGTCCGACTCCTCGTCCCAAGACAGTGTGGGTGTTTGCCAAGACCACTCAGAAGAGGGCCTAGTACCGGATTCTGCTGTTCGCGAGGACGTACCTGTCTGGTCAGGTTCACGTCGTCGTCTCAAGTTGACACATGACGATAATGAAAGATCTCTCACCTTCCCTCCCCAGAGGAAGGGTTCTCACGTCGACTCCATTGGGTATTCCTCGATAGATAGTAATGGGTTGCCGAGTCTAGCCACTTCGGGAGGCTTCGGAGACCGACACAACAACGAACAGCAGCGTAGCTCCTTCTCCCTTGCTGACAGCTACTTGAAGGAGAAGAGCCAATCACCTGACACACGCCAACTGCTCCTTATCACTGAGACCCGTCCAATGGATCGAGCAGAGCGGAAAAAGAAGCATCACAGTGATCCCAGCTGTGAGAGACGGGGCAGCACAGATGCTCTTCTTTTCCTAAGTCAGCCCCAGCTGGGCACCACTGCCACGCACGGCGACACGGAGAGACACGCCAACAAGGGAGTAGTATCTCAGGGCTCCACGGACTCTGAGGGTCGAGACGAGCGTGGGGATCAGCTACCCCTTGAGCCCTTGAGAGTAAGCACACCCCAGGTCCTCTTCAGTGGTCACGAGAGCGATGGCTCCGACTACCCACCCTGCCGCACCCCTGCCAGGAATGCCTCCCCGACACCCTACCTTCAGGACAGCGACTCTGGGGAGCGCAGTGCTCCTCGGAGTCCCCATGGGCCACGGCGGTACTACAAGAGGCCCCTACGAGGTCCGTATGGTCTCATGCTCGAAGCTGAAATGAATAAATCAAAGTCAAGTCCTTCTTACTTGTCAGAAGACACTTACCTGCGGGTGAGGGACGCCAAGAGTTGCTCCCCGCGTCCGCCCTCGCCAGCCTCCCCGGCAGTTATGGTGGATGAGCGGCCGCCTCTCATCATCCCATCCTCCCGCTCTCTGGATGACTCTGCCATCAGGATAAACTACGCTAATTCCTCAGATTCGATGGGTCGCAAGGAAAGCGAGGAACCTGATCCCGGGGCTACTTCCCCAGTAGGGCCCGCTTGGGAGAGTGATGGGGAGGGAACACTCTCCCCACTTCCCATTGTACCCATCCACCAGCGGACGGCCTCCTCTCCATCTAAGCTCTATTGCGAGGCTGGCTTTACCTCGGAGGACGAGCAGGAGTTAGTGGATTATTATTCCGCAGCGGCACGGCTCCTGGCACAGCAGAACCACCAGCAGCGCCGACCACAACAACAGCAGCAGCAGCAACAGCAGATGCAGCAAGATCAGCAGACACCAGCCCCACAGCTAGGGGTCACAGAGCTGCGACACCCCACACCCCACGAGCACCGCCACACCTCAGATCACAGACACTCCCACAAGCGACACCGGGTAAGTGCATCTTCACATCTTTGTAAACCAGTGCATATGTCGTGCTTTGTATACAACCAACACTTGCTTAATCGGCAACTATCATTTTGGCCCAGTAAGCCGAGTACATTAAATTTTGCTGGAACATCACTCAGAAAAAATCTTTAATATATTTTTATTAGCCTTTGAATACTAAATAAACTTAAGTTGATCTTAGGCTAAATAAGATTAAGTTCTATTTTGCAATGTTTAACAAAATGAGGCTAAGTTGCTAAGTTAGTTTCGACGCCAAGTTAAAATTTGTGTACGTTATTTTTCATGAAATTACAAGTATGACTCAAAAAATATTTATAAGAAGACCCGGCTTGTTTGACCAGTCTGGTTTAAAAGTATGACATAAACACATTGATCATTTTATTAATAACCAGGTATTGATTTCACTTCTGATCGGCTGGGTGGCTGACTCCGTCAAGCACAGGGAAATTTGAATTGGTTGAATGGCTGACTCCGTCAAGCACAGGGAAATTTGAATTGGTTGAATGGCTGACTCCGTCAAGCACAGGGAAATTTGAATTGGTTGAATGGCTGACTCCGTCAAGCACAGGGAAATTTGAATTGGTTGAATGGCTGACTCCGTCAAGCACAGGGAAATTTTAATTGGTTGAATGGCTGACTCCGTCAAGCACAGGGAAATTTTAATTGGTTGAATGGCTGACTCCGTCAAGCACAGGGAAATTTTAATTGGTTGAATGGCTGACTCCGTCAAGCACAGGGAAATTTTAATTGGTTGAATGGCTGACTCCGTCAAGCACAGGGAAATTTTAATTGGTTGAATGGCTGACTCCGTCAAGCACAGGGAAATTTTATAAAAGACCTTCCAGATATGAAGAAAAATCACATGAACCTTACGTGCATATATAAGACATCAGCTGGTAGAATAGATAGAAGGTTGATAGACAGTAACCATCCAAGGTGGATGATTACTGTCTACCTACCATATGAATGGTAGACCAAATGGAAAGTTAGTAGATTGGTAGACATGGGGGTTAACATGGACTTGCCCCGCATGGGCCAGTAGGCCTGCTGCAGTGTTCCTTCTTTCTTATGTTGTTACTATTAGTAGACCGGGCAGAAGGTTGGTATATATCAAGCACTCATGTACTCTACTTCCCTCCTACTTTATCACTGTAACACAGCAACACATCTTAAGCGAAAAACACAATTTTATTAAGACGTTTCGGTCCTAGGAAATTGTTTGTGAAGTGATCAAGGTCCCAGGCCAGAAGGTCCCAGGCCAGAGTGGATGTACTCATGTCCCTCTCTTTGAATGTGAAGGAGGAACCTGTTAAACATTTTGCACTCTGGCAGGACTGACAGCGTACCTCATCAACATGTCAGGATGTCAGGTAACTCTTACAGATTAACAGAATCAACACTCACTTCCCTACTTACCTGGACGATATTCTGTAGGGTCAGCGCCCCCTTGGCCCGGTCCATCAGCAGTCCCGAAATATTTCTTTTCATATTTAATAGATCTAGTCTGAGACCTGGCCGCGGGGGCGATGCGTCCGGATCTATCGTCAGATAACAAGTGACAGGTACGAGAAATACAATGACGTAATAGACATGATGTTGTTAAATGAATGATAGTGTTCGACTTTCTGGTCACACTACAGCTGGGATGTGCTGGTGACTACAGCTGGGATGTGCTGGTGACTACAGCTGGGATGTGCTGGTAACTACAGCTGGGATGTGCTGGTGACTACAGCTGGGATGTGCTGGTGACTACAGCTGGGATGTGCTGGTGACTACAGCTGGGGTGTGCTGGTGACTACAGCTGGGATGTGCTGGTGACTACAGCTGGGATGTGCTGGTAACTACAGCTGGGATGTGCTGGTGACTACAGCTGGGATGTGCTGGTGACTACAGCTGGGATGTGCTGGTGACTACAGCTGGGGTGTGCTGGTGACTACAGCTGGGATGTGCTGGTGACTACAGCTGGGGTGTGCTGGTGACTACAGCTGGGATGTGCTGGTGACTACAGCTGGGGTGTGCTGGTGACTACAGCTGGGATGAGCTGGTGATTACAGCTGGGGTGTGCTGGTGACTACGGCTGGGATGAGCTGGTGACTACAGCTGGGGTGTGCTGGTTACTACAGCTGGGATGAGCTGGTGACTACAGCTGGGGTGTGCTGGTGACTACAGCTGGGATGAGCTGGTGACTACAGCTGGGGTGTGCTGGTGACTACAGCTGGGGTGTGCTGGTGACTACAGCTGGGATGTGCTGGTTACTACAGCTGGGGTGTGCTGGTGACTACGGCTGGGGTGTGCTGGTGACTGTAGCTGGGGTCTGTTGGTGACTGCAGCTGGGGTGTGCTGGTGACTACAGCTGGGGTGTGCTGGTGACTACAGCTGAGGTGCGCTGGTGACTACAGCTGGGGTGTGCTGGTGACTACAGCTGGGATGAGCTGGTGACTACAGCTGAGGTGCGCTGGTGACTACAGCTGGGGTGTGCTGGTGACTACAGCTGGGATGTGCTGGTGACTACAGCTTTGATGAGCTGGTGACTACAGCTGGGGTGTGCTGGTGACTACAGCTGGGGTGTGCTGGTGACTACAGCTGGGATGAGCTGGTGACTACAGCTGGGGTGTGCTGGTGACTACAGCTGGGATGTGCTGGTGACTACAACTGGGATGAGCTGGTGACTACAGCTGGGGTGTGCTGGTGACTACAGCTGGGATGTGCTGGTGACTACAGCTGGGATGAGCTGGTGACTACAGCTGGGGTGCGCTGGTGACTACAGCTGGGGTGTGCTGGTGACTACAGCTGGGGTGTGCTGGTGACTACAGCTGAGGTGCGCTGGTGACTACAGCTGGGGTGTGCTGGTGACTACAGCTGGGATGAGCTGGTGACTACAGCTGGGGTGTGCTGGTGACTACAGCTGGGATGAGCTGGTGACTACAACTGGGGTGTGCTGGTGACTACAGCTGGGGTTTGCTGGTGACTACAGCTGGGGTGTGCTGGTGACTACAGCTGAGGTGCGCTGGTGACTACAGCTGGGGTGTGCTGGTGACTACGGCTGGGATGAGCTAGTGACTACAGCTGGGGTGTGCTGGTGACTACAGCTGGGATGTGCTGGTGGCTACAGCTGGGATGAGCTGGTGACTACAGCTGGGGTGTGCTGGTGACTACAGCTGGGATGTGCTGGTGATTACAGCTGGGGTGAGCTGGTGACTACAGCTGGGGTGTGCTGGTGACTACAGCTGGGATGAGCTGGTGACTACAGCTGGGGTGTGCTGGTGTCTACAGCTGGGATGTGCTGGTGACTACAGCTGGGATGTGCTGGTGACTACAGCTGGGATGAGCTGGTGATTACAGCTGAGGTGTGCTGGTGACTACAGCTGGGATGTGCTGGTGACTACAGCTGGGATGAGCTGGTGACTGCAGCTGGGGTGTGCTGGTGACTACATCTGGGGTGTGCTGGTGACTACAACTGGGGTGTGCTGGTGACTATAGCTGGGGTCTGCTGGTGACTGCAGCTGAGGTCTGCTGGTGACTGCAGCTGGGGTGTGCTGGTGACTACAGCTGGGACGAGCAGGTGACTACAGCTGGGGTGTGCTGGTGACTACAGCTGGGGTGTGCTGGTTACTATAGCTGGGGTCTGCTGGTGACTGCAGCTGGGGTCTGCTGGTGACTGCAGCTGGGGTTTGCTGGTGAATACAGTTGGGGTCTGCTACTGACTTCATCTGGGGTCTGCTGGTGACTACAGCTGGGGTCTACTGGTGACTGCAGCTGGGGTCTGCTGGTGACTGCAGCTGAGATCTACTGGTGACTACAGTTGGGGTCTGTTGGTGACTGCACTTGGGATCTGCTAGTGACTATAGCTTGGGTCTGCTGATAACTACAGTTGGGGTCTGCTGGTGACTACAGCTGGGGGTCTGCTGGTGACTACAGTTGGCGTTTGCTGGTGACTACAGTTGGGAGCCTGCTGTTGACTACAGCTGGGGTCTACTGGTGACTACAGTTAGGGGTCTGCTGGTGACTACAGCTGGGGGGTCTGCTGGTGACTACAGTTGAGGTCTTCTGGTGACTACAGTTGGGGTCTGCTGATGACAACAGTTGGGGTCTGCTGGTGACTACAACTGGGGTCTGCTGGTGACTACAGATGGTGTCTTCTGGTGATTACAGGTGGGGGTCTGCTGGTGACTGCAATTGGAGGTCTGCTGGTGACTACAGCTGGGTCTGCTGGTGACTACGGTTAGGGGTCTACTGATGACTACAGCTGAGGTCTGCTGGTGATTATAGCTGAGGTCTGCTGTGACTACAGCTAGTGTCTGCTGGTGACTATTGCTGAGGTCTGCTGGTGACTACAGCTGAGGTCTGCTGGTGACTACAGCTAGTGTCTGCTAGTGACTACAGCTGAGGCCTGCTGGTGACTACAACTGAAGTCTGCTGGTGACTATGTCTGGGGTCTGCTGGTGACTACAGCTGAGGTCTGCTGGTGACTACAGCTGAGTTTCGGGGTGACTAGTGAGACTGCTTGGACTACACGGGGTCTGCTGGTGACTACAGCAGGTTGCGGGATACAGCTGGGGTCTGGTGGTATCTACAACTGTGGTCTGCTGGGCTACGTTGGGGTCTGCTAGTGACTTCAGCGGGGGTCCGGTATACAGAGGGGTTTACTGATGACACAGCTGAGGTCTGGGTATTTACACTGGGGTCCGGGTGACACAGAATGTCGTGGAATACAGCTGAGGTCTGCTGGTGACTACAGCTGTGGTCTGGCGGTATCTACAACTGTGGTCTGCTGGTGACTACAGTTGGGGTCTGCTAGTGACTTCAGCTGGGGTCTGCTGGTGACTACAGATGGGGTCTACTGATGACTACAGCTGAGGTCTGCTGGTGACTACAGTTGAGGTCTGCTGGTGACTACAGCTGAGGTCTGCTGGTGACTACAGCTGGGGTCTGGTTGTGACTACGTCTGGCGTCTGCTGGTGACTACAGCTGAGGTCTGCTGGTGA